GGGCTGTGCAGAGCAGGGAAGAGAGAGGAAGGGCGTTGATGTCAGGGTGCCCCCCCACTCTGTATTCTATCTCCACAGAATGGGGGGGGGCACAACAGGACTTGGGAGGGGGTTTGCTGGTTGCTTTTGGGAGTGGGCCAGGGCCAGGGCAGGGTGAGCTGCCTTAGCCCCACTGCACCCCCACCCAGGAGTCACCAGAGGTAAACAGGGCCCAGCTAGAGCCAGCTCCAAACCCCCGCCCCAGTCATGAACCCCCACCTGCCCCCCCGAGCCCTGATCCCCCTGGACCCAAACTCTCTCCCAGAGCCTGTACCCTGAGCCCCCTCCTGTACCTCAACTCCCTGCCTCAGGCTCAGCTCAGAGCCCCTCACACTCCAAATCCCTTAGCCCAAGACCAGAGCCTGCACCCCAGCCCTCTGCCCCAGCCTGGTGAAAGGGAGGGAGGCCGGAGTGAGCAGGGATGGGGCTCGGAGAAGGAGCACGAAGGAGGCAGGGCAGGGTATTTGGGTTTGAGGGAGATGCTGGATTGCACTTCAATTCAAAATGTGATCTTGTGCTTACAAAGGTTGGAGACCCCTGTTGTAGATGGTAGCGTGGCCGTGCCCAACAGGTTTTGTTCGTCTCTAAGGTGCTGCAGGACTATTCGTTGTTGTTTCAGTTTTTCCAGTTAGGGAAGGGGAAGGCTGAGACAAGGGTTGACCCAAACTGCCTGTATCTGGAAGGAATCGTCTCTTCTCTGCTTTATTTATCAACCCAGTTTGAGAAAATTCAGAGTGGGGGTCAGTGGATTTTACTGGCCCCTCATCTGGCCAGGCCCTACGCTGCTTGATGTAAGCTATTTCCGGCATAGAAAATACTCAGGCAAGACTCTTACCCTGACTCCTGGCCAGGCACTGTGCTGCCCCCGCCAGCCTGTGAGCTGTTCCAAGGGAGACGGGGCTGGTGCCCCCCTACCAGCCCTCAGTAGCTGCAGGGTTTGAGCGCTGGTGCTGGGGGTTCAGGGCACTTCCCCGGCACCATCCAGGGTCTGTAGCCTGGCGGGGCGGTAAAAGGGCCCAGAGAGGCCCCTGCGTTCACTCTGAAGCCTAACGACCATCTGGTGGTGTCTCGGCGGGGCGCTGTCCCTTTAAATCCTTCCTTCGCTCGGCCTCCCCCTCAGGACGCGTTTTTTTATGAATGAAAAACGTTCTCTCCGTGATTATGCAAATCAGGTCGCGCCGATTGGCTGGCGCTCCCCGAAGACCACATTATGGATATTAGTACTGGGAGGAGGCGGGTGCAGAACACGCCGATGGGCCGCTGGGACCAATCACGACAGGAGGCATTGCAGCGGCGCGCGCTATTGGGCGGCTGAAAGGGTAAACAAGCAGTGATTGACGGCTGCTGGAGGGTCTGTGGGCCAATAGGAACAGGAGGGGGCGGGCTCAGGAGGCCGCTCGGGTTCTGGCAGCCCAAAGACTCTGGCTGCGAGCGATTCCGCGGCGG